CTCTCTCTCTCTCTCTCTCTCTCTCTCTCTCTCTCTCTCTCTCTCTCTCTCTCTCTCTCTCTCTCCCTCCCCCCTCTCTCTCAAACACACACACACACAGAGAGAGAGGGGGGTGATCTTTATAATATAGCCCTGTGAAAACAGAAAAACATTTCTAGCTCGTTGACAACACAAAACTGATAGACTTTTAACAACATTTTTGCAATAGTTCAGAGTTCAGATTCCACCCATTCCTGTTCCTGTCCTGTTAGGGAGGAGGGTCATATGTGTTCTTTTAAATGTAGGGATGTTGAAATAAAAAGCAAAGTCAGAATCTTGTTAAGTAAACATTTGCTTTGGCATGAGACCCAGCAGTTTGCTTCCTTCTCTTTGACCTTAGGATCCCCTCTTTGAAAACATGAACTCCCACTGAGTAATGTTAATTTTTTTCAAAAGAACAGGTTTGCTTGCATCCTGAAGGACAGTGTCACAGAAACGCTGCCAATGGTGAATATGACAGGGGCGGTTTCTGGATATTCCTTCAAGCAATGCCCTCAGCAATTAAGTGGTAAGATTTCTTATCAAATGTAATAAACATTAGCCAAAATAGTTGATATTGTTTCAGATACAGTTTTGCTGTATAAAATAAAATACTGCCATCTAGAATTAAGCTTCCTGACTAAGGAATGATCTGCTCATGTAGAATAGAGCATGTGGCTATCTCTTTCTCCTCCCCATAAGCACACTGCCGTCCATTGGCATTTCTAACATCATAAAAGAACTGAGCACCTCAGTTCTTCTTACTTCTTATTTACTTCTCCCTCCCCAGCCTAAAATTGTACATTAAAGCCCTTGTTATAGATGCTAATTCAAACCAAAGAAAAATAACACAAGACTGAAGTGGCACGTGTCTTAATAGTGAATGGGTATTTTTCAATAAATTAGTGAGTGAATCAATTAGTCAATGCAGTTTAGACACTAGGTCAGAAAGACAAAATGGAAATTTACAAGCTTAAGGTTGTACAAGCTTAAGGTTGTTCAGGTACAAGAAGGACATTGGCTTCCTCAAAATACCTCCCAGTGAAAGTAGGGATTACGTAGAGCGAAACAAAACTTACATAGAGACAGAACTTCCATGGGGAAGTGGGTGAGAAATGAAAAGTCTAAGTCAAGAGGGCCAGTTGCTGAGGCAGTACTGCTGTAGCTGCTCCTGGATTCTGGCGGTGCTCGCATTTTCTGCCTTTATTTCCAGCGTGCAGCAAAGGTGTGTATGTGGACCTAGACATGAAGGGGATGAACTATAACAGTTCTGTTGTGAAGAATGCTCGTGAATGCCAAGAAAGATGCACAAATGATGCTCATTGCCACTTTTTCACATATGCAACAGGGCGTTTTCGCAGCGTGGAGCATCGGTGAGTGAGCTGGAGTCCGAGCTCCAGGATACAGGAGTGCCAGGGGAAAAGAAAACCACTGGTTCATTAGTTATTTTCATCAACTTGAAGCCTACATTTTCCTAACTGCCCCCAAAGACGTTCGCATAATAGCAATCACTGTTTCATCATGAAAAGTTTGTCAAATGTCTAATTAGCATGCATTTAATTCGTAATCAAGATTTTGTGTTTCAGAGCTGGAAGAGGGTTCAATGTGTAATCGTGCTGGCTGCGGAAGCATGAGAACCTGAGTTTGGATCCCAGTGCCCTATATATAAAAGCCACATGTGGTTTTTCCTGCCTTTAACCCCAGTGCTTGGGGCCGGGGGATAGCGTTAGGGGACAGAGACAAAGAAGATTTGGGGGGGCTCACTGGTCAGCTCCAGGTTTAATGAGACTTTCTGTCTCTCAATCTGTCTTTCATTTGAACTTCCTATTCACACTTAATAACACACACACACACACACACACACACACACACACACACACACACTATATACAATACATATAGTGAAGCCTCACAGATTGTGTGTTCCAATGACATGTTAAAAATTACACATATGCTTCCCCTATATCCGAACTAACTTCAAAAGCACTACAGTTTTACACTGTAGTTTTGGGAAAGCTGCAACTGGTTGATTGTCAGTGCTCTTCCAAGTCTTACAAATATTGTAATAGTCCTGACCTAAAGAATTGAAAATAAAATCCATGTATCTGTCTAGCTAACTATACAGTTCTGTTCCTTCCCCAGGATGAAGTCATTGAAGCCCATGTACAAAGTTTTATACTTTTTTTGTGGGATTTTGAAATCTTCCCGCAAGAAATCTATTGCATAATAATATAAAAGTGAATTGTTCACTAATAATTATTAGTGAACAGACCTGCATTTGAGCTTTAAAATTTTATTAGAAAATTGCATGGTTTGTTCTTTTTAAAATATTGTGTGTGGGGGGCGTGCTGTGTGTATAGATGCACATGTGTGCAGGCAACTGGAGAGGCCAGAAAAGCCATCTCTCCAGCTCCCAAGATTCATTTTTAGATTTAGGAGTATTTGACATGACCCAGATTTGCACAATAAACTACATTTTTATACTTGGACTTTAACATTTGCTATTCATATTCTGCTTTCCACAATTTTGAAAATGAAATGAATAGGAAGCAAGGTATTAAAGGTGTATTTAAAAATCAGTAATAAAAAATGGAAAATAGCCTTCTATGGTTCTCTTTACTTCCCCTCAGAGGACAATTTTTTATGTCTTGGACTTAATAGAATGTGAACTGCCAGCCAGGAAAATGTTCCTAGGGTTTATAAAAAGGTATACTTAGAGGGCTAAAGTTACAAAGATCTGGAGAAATGACCCATTTACACACTCCACTCCTCACAGCACATCAGGTCTCCCAGGTTGTCTGTTTGCTGATGAGATAACATTGTTCCTGAGTCTACAGGGCCACCCTTGTGGGTAGAGGAGCTGCTGTCAGCACTCAACCAGCCAACTAGCCCTGCAGGTGAACCCTCCTCAGAGTAATTCCTTTATTATTACAGCCATTTCCTCCCTGCAGACAGTAATTTCTTATCCTTTTGTGCTTTTATATACTCGGAAAGAATATTTTCTGTTTTTGTTTTATGCAGTAACACTTGTCTTTTGAAGTATACCCAACTGGGGACACCAAGCAGAATAACAAAGCTCAACAATGTGGTATCTGGATTTTCACTGAAGTCTTGTGGACTTTCTAACTTGGGTAACTATTGTTTCTCAAAGAGGTATTTGTACCATTAAGTCTGTAGAAAGCTGAGGATGTGTGCAGCAGGTCAAACTTTGAAAACAGTTGATGCCCACTGACAAAGCAGACCCAAAGACCTTTCATTGTCTTCTTGGGATATGGGTCATTATGTCCTGGAAAGAATTTCTTCTTTAATCTCAAATAGTAATTAGCTAAATAAAAAATAAAGAACTTTGGATAAACTTTCTCTTTTTAATATAATGAACACACACTGTCTGGAATATCTATGATGTTGCTGGTGCCCTGACTTCCTAATATTTTCTTCTGTTGTACAGCTTGCATTAGGGACATTTTCCCGAACACGGTGCTTGCAGACTCTAACATTGACAGCGTGTTGGCCCCAGATGTTTTTGTCTGTCGACGCATTTGTACTCATCACCCCAATTGTTTGTTTTTTACATTCTTTTCCCAAAAATGGCCAAAAGAATCTCAAAGGTAGGAAACTGCCATTAAGGGTGATTTGTTCTCTTTTAAAAAACAGCCAATAAAAATGTGCTGCACAATCAAGATAGGAGATATCTAAGCAGCAGGCAAATTCCAGACTCTTTGAGAGAGGCAGGGCCTGTTGAAAGGGTCAACATTAAGAGGGAAGACTCTGGGAACACTGACAATAGAGCAAGGTGCTTTGAAATGTTCTTAGTGACATACAATTTGTGGAATGTGTCTCTGTGTTTCAAGAGAGGTAATAGGGACGTGGTGGTCACCATTAAATGCCAATGTGAGCTGACTTTACTTTCCATATACACTGTAGCAGTGTTCTTTCTGTTTGATATGTTTTACCTGATTTATTTATACATCCCCACTTGTCCCTTAGACATCTTTGCCTCCTTAAAACCTCGGAAAGTGGATTTCCAAGCTCACGAATTACAAAGAGCAACGCCCTTTCTGGCTTCAGTCTCCAGCACTGCAGGCATAGCACCCCAGGTACACAGTGATGGGCGACTTTCTCAGGCTCAGCTGTCCCAAGGGGATGGGTGAGTGTGACTGCTACATGTTTCAAACCCGCAATGTGCTTTGTTGTCTAGTATTCTGCCATCCATCCTTTCACAATGACACTGATTTCTTGGGAGAAGAATTGGATATTGTTGAAGTGAAAGACCATGAAACCTGCCAAAAAATGTGCACCAATGCTGTCCGCTGCCAATTTTTTACTTATTCCCCGTCTCAAGGATCTTGCAATGAAGGGAAGTAAGCCAACAGTCAGGTGGATGTGTTTGAAGCACCTGGCTGTAGAACGCATTATGCTTATACTGCTTTGTTTTCAACCATAGGGGCAGATGTTACTTAAAACTTTCTTCAAATGGATCTCCAACTAGAATACTTCATGGACAGGGAGGCATCTCTGGATACACATTGAGGCTGTGCAAAATGGATAACGGTGAGTACTTAAAAAATGCAACTGAAGGAAAATATTCAACTAAATGTAGTGGCAAAAAGCTAGCAAATAAGAACCACAGAGAAGTGGAAGCAGTGGCACGAGCCTCTAATCCTACAACTCAGGAGGCTAGGACAGGAGAATCAGAAGTTTGAGGGCAGGCTGGGTTAAATAACAAGACCCTGTATCAAAACTGACAACAAAAATAGACACAGAGGAGATAATTTGAAACTTAACAAATTTGGAAATTTTCCTTTATTCTAGCTTTGTTTGCCCAACCTTCCTATATTTTAAGCATATGAACCAATTCTTCATTAAATTCCACATGAATTGATAAATTGAATATGTGTTAAATCTATATCTATTATCTGTCTACCTTTGATAGATAGATAGATAGATAGATAGATAAAATATTATTTTAGTCATTTCAAGAAGCATTTCCTGAAGAGATAGACCTAGAGGGCTGATTTTTGTTTCCAAGACCAAAAAGATAATGTTTTTGTTTTGTTTTAATTCTCAGTGATTAAACTATCAACCAGTGCATTAATTATTCATTTTCCTTCCCACTTGATCTTTCAGTGAAACATAAACAATGATTATATATATATATTATCATGTTCAATGTTATGATGCACTATAAATTGTGATATAACTGAGATTTAATGAGCACAATGCAACACTAATCACTGATTTTGACAATCTTAGAAGTACAAACTCTTTTGTGTCAGATCATTTGCTATGCCAGCAGGTGACTCAATCCCCATCTTCTGGGGAGTGGATTTATAGCATATTCAGATGTTTTATCCCAGCAGTTCTAATGTCCTAAACAGAAAGCAAGCCTTCCTAGAATTCAGAGAGGCTTGATGGCAATCTCTGGATGTCCCACTCCTCTTTAGAAAGTGAATTAAGTTGTAGTTCATCTATTCTCTGTTTTCCTCATGATAAATTTACCTAATAAAAAGGAACATCCAGAACAAGTATAGTGTTAACTCAATCTCTTAGTGGTAGAGAGGACAATTAGAAAATACTGTTAAGTGATGTGGGCTTGCTCTAAAACCTGAGATAAAGAATTGACACCTTGATAAATTAAAGGTTCCATTTCTCACCCCTTTCTGCCTTCATTGTATTCTTCTCTTTTGAATTTATAGACTCTGGCCTGTGGAGGTGACAGAATATATCAGATTGATAGCTAGAGGAGAAAATATGGAGGGAAAAAACTGTATGTCCTTTCAGTCTGTCTCCTGATGTGTAAATTAGAGAAGCAGGTTGCACTGTACAGTATTAGACTACACAATACCCTCATGGAGAGGGCACATCTGACGGAGATGTTTGCAATATTTATACCATTGCTGGTTTCCAATGTAATTTGACTTTCTAAAGACATATAGCAATGCCACTAAAAGAAGTATTTCCTAATCCCAAATGCAAGGTTGAGCACTGTGTGTTTTCTGCATTCTGTTTAAACTAATGGAACAGAGTAGCAGGATGTAACTGTTACTCAAGGTCTTCATTGAGTTACTGATAGTGTGTCCTAATTACTGCTCAGTCACTAATCTTGTAAAGGTTACCTGCCTGCTTATAGGATGAAAGGTTCCCTAGAGAGTTCTCAAGTAACAGAAGAATACATGACCATGAAGCCCTGGGCAACTACTCACCATGCCCCTTCTCTTGTAGTGTGCACAACCAAAATCAAGCCTAGGGTTGTCGGAGGAACTGCATCTGTTCATGGTGAGTGGCCGTGGCAGGTGAGCCTGCACATCACCTCACCCACCCAGGGACACCTGTGTGGAGGCTCCATCATTGGAAACCAGTGGATATTGACAGCTGCC